AATGTTGAATGGCACCAGTCTCATTGTGGGAGCTTAGGCAATAAAAGGTGCCGAATTCTCAAGACCGTAATTTTAACTGAGAAGTTGGTGTGTGCAGGGAGGTAGTTTACAAGATGCCAAGATAGAATTTGTGCTAATCAGCCATCAGCTGCTTCGTAAGAGCAGCGTATAATCTTTTTGACCACATCCTTCCCAGAGAGGTGTAGATTCTGCAGCCTTCGCCTGCTGATGTAGTTGAGTGTGGAGAAATGCTGACTGAACTAATTCTGCATATGTTAGGGTTTAGAAAGCTGAGACTGGTGTAATTTATCACTGTGTAGAAGTAAACTTTTTATTTATACATGTTTTGTTGAATTCAGTGGTGACTTACTGTGTTCATTTTTATTCTTTCCTCCCACAACTGGAAGAAAAAATTCTTCAGAAATCGAAAATGAATCTCAAAGTTTCACTAATGTTTTTTAATTCAAGGAGAAAAAAAAAATATTTTGAATTCTTGTAGGGAAGAGGTAATTGGTAACTTCTGCTGACTTGAGAACCCGAACTAAAAAAGGTTCAGAATAAATAACCCTATTAATAAAACCTAAAACAAGAGGATTTTTTGCTAATACTACGTGTAAAGGAAACGTGTAAGAAGTAATTGTAGCCCTTGCTAGGTGGACGTGTTCGTCCCGTTCGTTCTGAACGCACAGCTGCAGTCAGAGGGCAGCCTGATGTGCCACTGCCCTGCTGACTTGGTGCCGGGAGCGCTGCCCCCCGCCAGCAGCCTCTGGCTTCTCCCAGATGGGGCAGAAACGGTGGCCCAGCGGCAGCTGCGGCCCCGGAGTGACGGGCTCCGCACGTGTGCGGCGCTCCGTGGATACAGCAGGGAGGCGGGGGGCTCCTGAATGTGGGGTTTGTGCTGCAGAAAGAGTGACTCAACTCCTAACTGCATGATGCGTTTTTGTTGTGGTCCAGATGATGATTTCCAGTTAATACAGAGGACTTTTATGGAGAAGAACTACCAGGAGTTTGATGACTCAGAAGAAAACAAGCTCATCTATACTTCTATTTTTAATGAATATGTAAGGTCCTTTTTCGTATGTGTTTCTTTTTTGTTTTTCTTAAGGCCAGTGTCAGATCCTGTGTTCATAGAATCACAGAACGGTTTGGGTTGGAAGGGACCTCAAAGATCATCCAGTTCCAACCCCCCTGCCATGGGCAGGGACACCCTCCACTGCACCAGGTTGCCCAAAGCCTCATCCAGCCTGGCCTTGAACACTGCCAGGGATGGGGCATCCACAGCTTCTCTGGGCAACCTGCTCCAGTGCCTCACCACCCTCAGAGGGAAGAATTTCTTCCTTAGATCCCATCGAAATCTCCCCTCTTTCAGTTTAAAGCCATTGCCCCGTGTCCTGTCACTACACGCCCTTGTCCAAAGCCCCTCTCCAGCTTTCTTGTAACCCCTTTAGGTACTGGAAGGTGCTGGAAGGTCTCCCCAGAGCCTTCTCTTCTCCAGGCTGAACAGCCCCAACTCTCTCAGCCTGTCTCCATAGCAGAGGTGCTCCAGCCCTTGGATCATCTTTGTGGCCTCCTCTGGACCTGCTCCAGCAGCTCCATGTCCTCCATGTTCCCCCTTTTATAGAATACCAGGTTTATAAGTGGCAGAGCCAACATAGTGCCTGCTGTCTCTCTCAGAAGCACAGTCATGATCTGCGAGCAAGAAAGGTGTTTTCTGGACCTCTAGGTTCCTTTCTCTTTGCATCACCTGAAAATATCTGTAGATGTTTTGGAAGTAGTGTAACTCTCTTGAGTAGAAATTTAGCCTATTGCTGGAGTAAATAATGTGTTTAACATGTGCAAAACAAAGTTCCTTTGTTTCCAGTTGTATTCTTTAGTGTATTGGACACTTTGATTACATTCTTCATGCACAGCATAATTATGAAACCAGTCAATACCATTAAATGAGTTAAAAATAGTTTGTTACTAAATGCAAATAGTCAGTGTTTGTTCTCACCAATATTCCCAGCAAAAACATCCCGCTCAGTGCCTCAGCAGTGGTGTGGATAATCGAACAGGATCGCCCGGCTGAGGAGTCCGCAGTCGTTTGCCCAGTGGGGATAATACAAAGGTGTTGGTCTGAGGAAGATGTGCTGGTTTGAAATCTGCTCCTGAAATTAGTTGTGATGTTACAGGAGTCATTTGTTTGGGTTTTTTTCAGATCTCTTTAGTAGAGAAATACATCGAGGAAAAGTTGCTTGATCGGATTCCTGGTTTTAACATGACTGCTTTCACGATGTCGTTACAGTAAGTCTCTGCCTTTGGTTGAAGCATGGCTTACGTGCCTCTAAATGAATTCTTTTTATCTAGATTAAAGCTTATGTTTGACAGCTCTTGCTTTAGAAAGAGGTTCCTCTTGAATTTTTAAAAAAAAAGTGTCCATGCAGACAATGACTGACCACTTTTGTCGTCTTCAGCATGTCCTGCTACTCCAAACTTCTGGACTGTCATGCTGAAATATATTGGGTTTGAAGAGGTAGGGAGAGAAATCAGAGCACTGGAGGGTTTTAATGATCATTGTCACTTTGAAGGCAGGCCTTTAGAAGATTCTGTCTCATTTATCTCTCTCAGGCTCTGTGATGGACACTTAAATAGCCTGGTAGTCTCTCAAGAGTCGTGTGCTGAAATGCCTTTATCGCGGTGCTTGTACAAAGCGTTCAGAGAAGGGTTTGCTTTGTCCTGTGCTTTGCAGTTGGTCACTTTAGCTTAGCCAACTTCATGAAGAGATCACTGGTTTTCCCCTGAGTAAGAAAATCAAGTGTAATTGGGAACTGAGTATCCAAAAATATTTGAATCCATTTCATGTTTAGCTTTTTTAAAATAAGACATTGGGAAGTTACTGGGAAGGCACGCAGTACGCTTCGAAGATAGACTGTTTAGGGTGAAGTTCCTTTTGATAAGATTTAGATCATTTCAAAAAAACCAACAAGCAGCCCTTGAGTGTTAAGAAAGTCTGGTTGAAATATGGCAACAGGGGGGCACAGAGTCTTTCTTCCAGACCGTCTTCATCAAAAGTCCTCTGCCAAGTATCGTCAGTACAGTCCCTCTTTCTTAAGGGATGCAGAGGAACATTGCGTGCCCCTCTCCACCTCTCACACCTTCCGAGGGACTGTCTGGCTGTTTCAGTGCTCAGGGTAGATAAATAGATAAATTCTAGTTGAATGTCACTTCTGTTGACTTACAGGTCAGTTTCTTTGTCTGGTTTTCAAGGGCTGATATGATACTTTTACATTTTGGATTTAGATAAATCCAATATATTAATGTACTTGGATTGGAAATACTGCAAAGTAATAGTTGGCTAAAGTTTTACTTTATGATACACCTGTAATAACATTCTTGTTTAAATTTCGATATTGTTCTGCTCGTCCCAGTATCCTTTTTGACCTCATACCGTTTTATAATAAAGAATTTCTTTCCCCCACAGTTTTCTGATTCCCCAACTTTTTCCCTCTATAGGCAGCACAAAGATGAAATGGCAGGTGATATATTTGATATGCTCCTCACGTTTACTGACTTTCTGGCTTTCAAAGAAATGTTCTTGGATTACAGAGCTGTAAGTATGTCACATCATTTACTTTCATTGGCATAATGGCGATTTTTGTGTAGCTCTGCCTGAGAGTACCGAAGGCAGCGTTACTACAGCGGGTAGCAGCATTTATTCAAAGGCTGTACAGGTTCAAAAGGAAAATAACTTCACTGAGTGGCTATTTAAACTCAAAACGCACATTTAGTAATTTCCAGAAAAGATGAATGAAGCTGGCACACGGAGCAGTTCTTCAGAAACACACGCTTTCTGCATCTTCCAACGTTGATTTCCAACTGAACGTAAGGGAACTCTGTCACTGCGAGGGTGACTGAGCACTGGCATGGGCTGTGGAGTCTCCATCCTTGGAGATCTTGAAAAGCCATCTGGACATGGCCCTGAGTGGCCCTGCTTGAGCTGGGGGAGGTTGGACCAGATGACTTCCAGAGATCACTTCCCACCGTGACCATTCTGTGATTCAATGATACAAGATTTTTTGGTTGGGTTTTTTTCCACCCCCCTGCCAAGCTAAAATTAGCTTTTTAAGCTTATTCCATTTGTATTCTTCCTCCTCTCTGTCCAGGCTGGAGTATCAAACAAAAGTAGTAAGGTTTTTGGATGAGCTTTTTCCTAGGAAAATGAAATACATGTAAGAGCTCTCCAGTGTCTGGGCAGTCACGTTTGACCAAGGAGCGGAAGAGTCACAGTCATTGTCAGGATTATGTCCTCTGCTGCCTCCCGCCACCCTGTTAAGTTTTATGAAAATAGGGGCAGGTTGAGGAGAAGGAGACAGTCCATGGGAATAGTTTCAGTTGATGTTTGCACCTTTGGGCTCACCGGAGAGGCAAATTGCAGGAGCTGGATTTCACCAGTTCCTTGAGCACTGGCTGAGGCTGCTGGCTGGGCGTTCTTGGCCAGGTGTAAACGCGACTCTGCTCTGACCTGGAGGAACTGCTGGCAGAGTGACAGCGACCTTGCTCCAGAGTTTCCTGCACAATCTCTGTGTGAAGTTTGGGTTCACCTACAGCAGAAAAAAAATGCTCTGCTAGGCATTTTCAAGTCCGACAGCAAGCTGCGTGCAATCATAGATACTCCAGTAACGTGTAGTTTTATATTGATTTGATGTAACAAAGAATATTAATCGTCTGTTTCATTCTTTGAACTACCTACTCCAAACCAGCACTGAGTCAAGGGTTTCTTTTTTCCATTTTTCTAGAAAAAAGAAGGTCGAAGTCTGGACTTAAGCAGTGGGTTAGTGGTGACTTCATTAAACAAATCATCAATATCCTCCTCCTAGAACCGTTCATGCACTACTTTCCTTCTCCAGATGAGTGCTGCTGCTTTCGTTTGGACATTAAAACTCCAAAGATCGTGAGGATCACGGTGCTTTTACGTGATGAAAACTCACTCACCCTCCAGACTATACCTTCAGAGGCCTGACCCTAGCCACAGCTGTCTGTGGGTGCTGGTTGGTGTTCAATGGCCACAGAAGAAGACATTTTCAACTCTACCAGAGTGATTGTTTTTCATAAACACGCAGTATTTGTACACCAGCCTAACCATTGCACACGCTGAGGAGCCCAGCACGCCAAGAGGATGATAAATAAGACTGTGCATGTGTTGTTTGGGTTGGCATCTTTACCTCCCCGTCAGTATTTTATTGTTTTGGGGTTTTTTGTGATACTTTTAATATGATCTAAAGTGCTACAGGTTTCTAATGGAAGATGTTTCAATACGTAGGTGTTCTAGCATAAGGCTGCTCTCAGCTCTCACGTGAGTGCGTGGATCTGTCTGCTCTCTCGCTTGTATAAGTCTCTTCCTTAAGGAGCAAAGTTCTCCGATCCACTTTTGTTCAGGCCCCAGCTCTTCCACATTGGGAAAAATGACCACGAGAAACCGAAATGTGGCTTAGGTACGCAATTCCTTACTTTCTGCTCAGCAGTGGCACCGCTGCGTTAGTCCTAATAGCAGAAGCTTGGTGGTAGGTTGTTTACCACCCTGTCATGTGCTGCTCTCAACAGCTGCTGCTGAAAGGGCGTGGGTTTGCTGTTAGGCTGTTCCCAACATTAGTGCAGCAGTGCATTTCTCAGCGTCCGTGGAAAAACAGCCGAGCGGCTCGCTGGTGGAACCAGGTAAGCCCGTGGCGAAACCCTGGGCACACCTCTGTTGGTGGCTGGAACTCAGCTGCACTTGGAGCTGGAGGGACCCTCTGTTCCTACGCTGTTCAGACACCTCAGTCTGCCCGGGCAATGCGAGCACATCTTCCAAATCCCCAGAGGAGACAGAAACACAGGATGATGAGCAGAACTGCCCGCTCCGTCCCGCGGCGGGTCGGTGCAGCAGCAGAGGTGCCTGTTGCTCGGTCGCCTGGTGAGAACCTACCCTGGGCAGAGCAGAGCTGTGGCTGGGCCGTGACAAATCTTTGTGGATGAGAAACGTCTTACAAGAACAGACGAGGTGAAGTCTCGTTCCTCTTGACGTCTGGCAGTGATTTCAGCAGTACTAGGACTTTGTTCTTCAGCTGAAATAGTTTTTGGATACCGGGCAAGACTCCTAGCCCTGCAGGCAACAATAAGCCATACGATAACATTGAACAGGTCTGTGGCCAGACCATAATGGCTTTTTCAAGGCTGGCTGGCGAAGCTAAGTGTAGTGTCCGAGTTTTTTGAGAGTTGCAGTAGTTAATCTCATTAAGTCTCTAGTATGTCGTGCTCCTGGCTCTGCAGTTTTTTGTCTGGAATTGTTCTGGTATGTTGAAATCTCCCTCTGTCGTGGTTTTTTTTTGGACTGAGGGTCGAGACAAGAACCGAGAGGGAGCACCCACCAACCAT